TTTTATGGAGGACTGTTTCCTGATCCTGGTAGAGTAGACTACAATGCCGGCTGTTCTGACTCACAGACTGTAAGTACGTTTTCATATTTAAAGGATTTGCCACTGACGATTCAAACACAAGTTTTAAGCCGTGTAGAGTAGCACTTGTTTGTAATTTCTCCGATCACAAATGCAGACATGGTTTTATGTTTACGCAGCACGATGCAACGCAACGTTTATATGCCTCGTTTATAATGGGTTTTAATGTTTTTGTCTCATCGTTCCGGCCGGGACATGCCAGCACAATATGGTAGGGGCGTAACATTTATGTCACACGCTTGAGGTATTCGGCTAATCACAACGCACTGGATAGCTGGCCAATCACAGCACACCTCACTTTTCAGACCGATGAGCTTTGTAAAAATCGACACGTTTCAGAAAGGAGGGGCATAGAGGAGAAACAATAATGTACAGCGTATGGAAAATAATGTGTTTTTTGAACCGCATAAACACATTTCATTACACCAAATACACAAAATAATATTCCTTTTAGCAACATCATATGACCCCTTTAACGTACCTGTTATACACATTTTTAACTGTTTATGTCTCCTCTTCTCTCTTTCCCAGATGCCTCACGAGTCCACAGTGGAGCACACTCATGTAGACATAGAGACTGAGTCTCCTCTGGCCACACGCAACCGTCACTGTGTGGACTGCAAGGACATCGACTGCAAAAGAAACCAGCTCACACGCTCCATCAGCGAAATCAAACCGATCACAAATGCAGACATGGTTTTATGTTTACGCAGCACGATGCAACGCAACGTTTATATGCCTCGTTTATAATGGGTTTTAATGTTTTTGTCTCATCGTTCCGGCCGGGACATGCCAGCACAATATGGTAGGGGCGTAACATTTATGTCACACGCTTGAGGTATTCGGCCAATCACAACGCACTGGATAGCTGGCCAATCACAGCACACCTCACTTTTCAGACCGATGAGCTTTGTAAAAATCGACACGTTTCAGAAAGGAGGGGCATAGAGGAGAAACAATAATGTACAGTGTGTGGAAAATAATGTGTTTTTTGAACCGCATAAACACATTTCATTACACCAAATACACAAAATAATATTCCTTTTAGCAGCATCATGTTTATGTCTCCTCTTCTCTCTTTCCCAGATGCCTCACGAGTCCACAGTGGAGCACACTCATGTAGACATAGAGACTGAGTCTCCTCTGGCCACACGCAACCGCCACTGTGTAGACGGCAAGGACATCGACTGCAAAAGAAACCAGCTCACACGCTCCATCAGCGAAATCAAACCGCCCCACCTGTTCGCTCACCCGCCGCAAGAAATCACACACTGCCACGACGAAGATGATGACGAAGAGGAGGAAGAATAAATGTTTTTGACCTATTCTAGGGTAAAGATCTGTAGGATGATGATGATAGAGTGATGAGGATATCGTGTGAGGTAGAAAAGGAAGAGTGATTGTATGAAGTAGACTATAATTGCCAAACCAAGCTCAAAAAGCTGATGTTCACAGTACCAGACTTCAGTTCACCCTAACTGACAGTTTCCTCCGTTAAAGAGAACTAATACATAAGTTTGTTTAAAAAAACTTTGCGATCTGGAATTGTTTATCAGTCACTATGAAAGCACATAATGTCATGTGATAAACATCCAGTGGAAACACAGTGGAAGGGATACGCACTCTACTGTGAACTGATGGTAAAACTTATGAGTTTGCATGCATCATACAGCCAGCATGCTGGGAAAGACTCCGAAAAATCAAAGCCAGTTAGGACGAGTGTTAAAGTCTGTGATTGAATCCTTACAGATGCACATCTTATTTTTAGGTGTGTTATAGTCATTTTTTACTATTGTTTATAGTTTTTAACAGTTTAGACATAACTTTCGAATAGCCAGTCCATCCAGCTTGGTTACTACCTCCTGCAAAAACTGTATCCAATAACTGTTCCTTTAAAAAAAAAAAAAAAAACCTCTCTCTGTGTGTGTTAAAGCTGTGTGTGTTGGCAGGGTGTTTGTGTTGAAGTCCTGCGTGTGTTGAGAATCTGAATGAAGCACAGAAAACCGAAGCACGGTTCATTGTGACGTGCATAAGGAAGTGCAGCCAACACAAGAATCCAGTTACTTGGCAACAGCATGCAGCTGCTTTTTTTTAGAGGTTTGTTGTTAACATCTTGGTTTTCATCTTTTTTTTTAATGCAGAGATTTTGGCTAGCACTAATGCTACAGAGTAGCAAACAGATGCCTCATATATCATGGCGCAAAATGAGTCCGAACACACACAGACACACTGCTCTAATTTTGGAAGCGATGTCACATTGAACAATGACATACTGTATTTTTATACTCTTATATAAGCTAAACAGAACGGTCTAGTTTTGTGTCAAACATTACGTGCCATTAATATCTGCCTCACATAAGACAGATGCAAACTATTCAAATATACGTACAGTAAGTGACCTTGTTATGCAAAAAAATATTTATAAAACTGTGTTTTATGACCTGCGCAGCTTGTTATTACACATCAGTAAAAGTAAAGTCATTGAGAGAAAAAGTACAAAAAAGTAAACCGCTGGACATTGTGAAGCTGATAGGTTGAGAATGTGCTGTTGCTTTGGTGACTGTTTCTATGGAAATGAATGTAGTCCTGGATAATGTTTTGAACTCTGTTGATGGTTTACTGTCATGTGGACCAAAACGGTATAGAGAAATTGTGTTTGATTTAGCTTCAAGGGTCCCATTAGACACTTTTAGGTGTCCCCACAGCAAGTATGTGGAGTTTTTAAAGAAATAAACGTTGTTCTTGAGTATAATGGTGGTTCACGGTTTAGAGAGGAAGCGGTTTTAGCTGTGGGAAGAGTTCCAAGTGCATGAAACGGGTAGATTAGGATGGTTAGTGTGACTTTTATATGCATTAATCAGAGATAGTATGTAGGATCTGATTGAATGAAGCTACCCAATCTATAGTGTAACATGTATCACTCGTATGCATATAAATGTATTATTTTTATTTTATGAGAATGTCATTTTTTATTTTTTTTTGGTAATCGTTTTTTTTTTTTAAGGGAAGACCAAGTTTGTTTAAAGTCTAAAGGTTTTTGGTGAGGCCCAAAAAGGGTTTTCAAAAGTCTGTTTCCAAGGAAGCAGTAAAAGAGACATTTTTAAATGTACAATGCATATTTTATGTGTCAGTTTTGGTTTATAGTTTAAAAACAACTGGACATCCTAAAACGGGGCAGCTCTTTCAAAATATACTTGTCCTTGTACACAGTATAGAGAAAGTGTTTTTTTTTTTTAGGTCCTGATTAAAAAAAAAGATCCAGCATCCCTCTTTCCTCTGTTTTCATTAGCTTTTTATACAAACTCAGTGTTGTGGGGGTGTGTATATACATAATCCAGCCGGTTCCCTGGACACTGATGAAAACTAGTCCTAGGCTAATTTGCACTGGTGTTGACAGTTGTCCTTTTTAGATGTCTATGCAAGGGACACTGACTTAGATTTATATTTAAAAAATAATATAATAGAAAATGCATTGAGTTTAAACAGTATTCGTCCAATTTTCCTTTAATGGGTGAAGGGCTCATCCATATAGTCATAGGTAGCATTGCATACATCTCTGTTTGAACCAATGTTTTCATATTACATTTTGGCATAGTTTATAGTGTAGTTGCGTGTTAAATGTGCCAGTAACTTACTAATATACTGAGTATTTGTTCCTTTCTGTTTCGTACCCTTTTAATTTCTGATTTTTTTTTTTCATGTTTCGTACAGACTAGTTTTTTGTGACTACTAGCTCTCAGTTTAGCAAAAGGATCTGTAGAGGAGATCGAGCAAAAAGAGACATGGCATTTATTAATCCAGTTTTTTTTGTTTCGTTTTGTTTGTTTGTTTAGGGCAAGTGATTTCATGTCTCAAATTAATTTTTGTTCCCTGAATTATGATAGCTTTTGATTTCTAGAGTTCTAAACTTATACATATAGGAATTTGCATTGCAATGTAAAAATAAAAATAATTTTCCATAATAAATTCACTATTGGTCTCCTGTCTTGTTTACTTCTAACTAGCATTTAACTACATTTATATGCCATAGCAAGTTTTCTGTTTAGAATAATGAAGAACACCTTGGAACATGGCATCCTAACTAGCCTATACCACAATGAGCAAAAGGACAATTCGCTGGCCATTTAGATTATATTTCTGATTTCCACAGTGACAATGTCATGTGTCTAAAATACCACTCCACATATGTATACTGCATATTACACATTAAATATGTTGGAGCATGCATGGTGTAAACGATTCAAACAAAAGTGATCCCCAGTTTCTTGAGCAACATGAGCCTTACCCAATCTTAACCAGTCCTGACAGATCATCTGTCTTTACAAAGCAAAAATGCTGTGATGTACAGTCAGTCAGAATATAATGTTTAATATGCAGATCAAATAATGAACAGAATTACCAGTGTGAGGTAACGCCCAAAATATCCTGTTGTCCATCTGTTGTTAGAACACAGTTTGCAGCTAGGATTTCTTTTACATTTTATTTTTTTATTTTTATGAAAGAACACAGTACCACAGTGAAACTGAATGAATGTTTAATAGCACTTTCTAGAACCGTTTTCCTCCCTAGGGTTTACATTTTAGTTACAAAGTAGCTACAATTCATTAACAAAGAAAATTTGAAAAAAAAAAAAAAGCCAGAACCTGTATTTAACCCCACAAGATCGTCTGTCTAGGAAAAAATAATCAATGTTGGCTTTCATTTACTAAATAAATCCCAACAATCTCTGATCTCACTTCTTAAGTAAAATCTTTGGTATAAAGAGCACATCAGTTTGAAGATTACAACCTTGTCAAGGTTTAGTTTGGCTAAATTGTTAGACCATAGTGCCAAGCAGTGGCTGTCTGTGGTAGTGACCCATGTATAAACAATGCAAGTAATGCTTTACTGATGGTTATCCATTGTGGTTCAAATAATGAAAACATCTAGGGCAAAGTCTTAAAAGCTGCCTGAATCAGATTTACCACAAAGTCCAACATTGTAGAAAGAGGGTCATGCAGCTGCCACCTATAACAACATATAGGAATGGTTATAGGAATAAGTTGTATGATGTTTGATGATAGGCGGTTTGGGTCTCTGAGAAAACAAGAACAAACCAAAAAAATAAAAAAGTATGGCAAGGGAGAAAATATAAGTGGTTCATCATTAAATGAATAGTAAACCAAAAAAATGAAAATTTGCTGAAAATGTTCTCACCCTCAGGCCATCCAAGATGTAGATGAGTTAATTTATTCATCTGAACAGATTTGGAGGAATTTAGCATTACGTCAATGGATCCTCTGCAGTGAATGGGTGCCATCAGAATGAGAGTCCAAACAGCTGATAAAAACATCACAATAATCTACAAGTAATCCACATGACTTCAGTTCCATCAATCAACATCTTGTGTAGTGAAAAACACTGTGTTTGTAAAAAACAAATCCATACATAATTTTTTTTTTCTGGCCAAAATAATAGTCCTTAATCCATAATATTGCTGTCACAACTATCACATAAAAATCCACCCACATATATGTTTAGAACTGTTTTTGCATGTAAACTGCGCTTGATCTGTGCATATTTCTCTCCTGATTCGGACAAGACCACTTTTTCACTGGAGAAAGCAATATATGGATAGAGGACTTGTATTTTGGCCAGAAGCAATGGTTCGTTTTTTTACAAACATGCAGCTTTTCATTTCACAAGACGTTGACTGATGGTCTGGAGTCGTGTGGATTACTTGTGGATTATTGTGATGCTTTTATCAGCTGTTTGGACTCTCATTCTGACGGCACCCATTCACTGCAGAGAATCCACTGGTACATTTTTTCAAATATGTTTCCATGAAGAAACAAACTCATCTACATCTTGGATGGCCTGAGGGTGAGTACATTTTCAGCAAATTGTCATTTTGAGTGAACGATTTACAAAAAAAAATAAGAAAAAAAAAGTGTATACTTCTAAATACAGCTGTATGCATAGCAGGAGTTTCCAGCGTTCATATAAATAAAGTCAACATTATATACATAAAAGGTAATACACACAAGTACAGCCATTTAAACACTATGGCACCTTTCTTACAGCTGTATGATGGGTAAAACAATTTAATGTATTAGTTGTTTTAATGATGTGGTGAAGACTCATTTTGTTACTGCCTGGATTCAGTTAGGAATCACACAAATGCATATCGATTCTCCCTTGCATAAAGTCCTGACAGCTCTATGGTTTAATTGAATTAAGACCGCCTTCAGCTTTAAATGTAAAGTTATTGTGCCTTTGATAGAATTAACATTTTAAAGCAGACAAACAGGACCTGTTCATCCTTTGAATTGAATCCAAAATGTCTAAGAACAAATATACAAATACGATACAATAAATGCATACAAATAGAACTATAATTTACAATACAATAATCATGATAAATCATCTTTTAAATAAAATGCATTTCATTGCACTTGTTAAAAATTAATATGATTTGTTTTAAAGGCAATATAATGATTAATTTTTTAAAAAGGTGTAAAAGGTACTGTGGGATATACCAGATTTAGAACAATAAAAATAATCATTTCTGAAATATACATGTAAAAGACCCTCACCGATACATATACAATGATGTATTTGTAACTATTTATATATAGCATGTGCATGATATCAGTGACACTCATAGAGGCACACACATACACAATTTACAGACAGGTGTTTGCAATGTGCCGACAATTATATCCTCAGACATGCACGTATGTACAAACGCATACAAAATAAATAAATATGTGAGTAGAATGCTCTCGGTTCACGGTTTCCTTCAAAGCAGTATTTGGAACAGTCTTTGATTTATCCTATTACAGCATCTGTCTGGAGTGTTTCTTTTGTGTTTGTGAACATCACGGGGCAGTTCGAGTATAGCTGGAGGGGCTCGTCAGAGCACAGAAATGTCCATCCTCCAAACTCTTTGGTCTGGGGGACATAAACGCTGTGGTTTATCCGAATTAATGGGACTGGACCGCCTGTTGCCTTGGGTCAACCCAAGCTCAGGCCGTGGTAGTAGTGCACTCAGGTTACAGTGGTTTGGGGTGGTGAGCAGCGCCAGGGTTCTGCTATCCGCTTCGCTCCACCACCCCACTGAGGGCTAGATGGCTCCTTCGCTGTGGCCTGTGTGGTTCGTCTTGTTGTGGGCCACGCAGTTCTGTGTCTGGTTGAACAGAGTGGTGGTTTCATCGGCCACTCCGTCATGGAGCTCTGTCAAAGTCATTTCGATTTTGGTGTACTCGCTCTCTGAGGACTGTGGCGTCTTGTCCATGCATGATGCCATGACGGCGTTCTGATACTGCTGGCGCGTTACCTGTCAATAAGAGGTAACGAAAAACCAAATGGGTTAAGATGAAACGAAATAATCAAAACAAGGCGAATAAACCGGTTGTAACAATTTTTCATTGTTTAGTAGAACTTTTATCTCATGTATGGCCACATTTCCACAGATATTACCATTGTAATTCTAGCAAAGTATTTTATATTTTCATTAAAATAAAAACAAACATTTCTAATACAACGGCAGCAAATTTGACATCTTTCTCTCTTCTGATCAATGTAGTCAATGCTATTGGGACAACTGGGAAAATGATATTAGTAGTTAGATAGTAGTAGATAGTTTACTACAGAAGTTTACCCAAATATGACAACTTCCACTTCGGAGAACCTGAAAATGAGAAATTTGTTTCCATTGTTTCTGTTGTCTTTTATTTTGGAATTTTAAATCGATCCGTTCATCGTCCATTCTTCTCTCTTACCCTTAAAAAGAAACATGCCCAGTATGGTTTTTTACTGCTTCATAACCACATAAAGTGTTTACTGTATATCAGACTGAAATTATAAATGACCTTGTTAATCCTGCCTCTATAAAGCCACTTTACCATGACCGAGTTTGCCATGTTTCTGATCCAACCAAGCATTTAAATATCGTCTTGCCTTAGTATAATATTATTGGGAGATATAGACTGACAACTGATATTTCTATCATTTTTAGACACATACATTTTACATCTAACACATTTTTTGGGAATGTGTTTCCCTTATCTAATTGTGATCCAATAAACCAAAGTGCATCTTTATATGAGGTGTAAGGGACTACGTTTCCGTGAAGATCTTTTAACATCCATGGAAATTTCCCATTGCACAAAAGGTTCTATAGAGGGAAAGGGTTCTTCAGATTATTAAAATGTTCTCTATACTGAGATTTATTTATTTTTTTGTTCAGTGAAAGGTTCTTTGGGGAGCCTAAAATGATTATTTTATGGAATCGCTATGAAAACCCTCTTGGAACGTTTCTTTCTAAGAGAGCTCATTCCATAGCCACATCAGAACCAATGTCCATGACCACGTCTCCATCTGCCACAGACCCTACCCAGTGCCCAAGTCCACGTCTGTCCCAGAGCCAACACTCAAATCCACATTTGCCATCAAGCCACAGCCACTGGTTTGCTGTCATTGAGCTACAGCCATTAGGCCACAGTTTGAACACAGAGCCCCGCAATGGGTGCCACAATGGTCTCCAAAAATGGTTTCTGAAGAATTACACTGATTTTGTTTTGGGTATATTGGTTGTAATGACAAGAAAATGTACAGAAACTTGCAAGTGAGCTTGTGTGTTTGTGCAATTATGTTTACCTTAATATACTGTACGTCTGACACAGCTCTGACAGAATAGTCCGGCACATATATCTGCAGGAAGGCATTGAGCTGGTGGTTACTGCTGCCCAGTGACGGTGTGATGGCTTCAATACGCTCGCTGCGATTTAACGAGTCAGAATGGTTCAGTCCAAATGACCGAGGGGGCGATTTGTTTTCTGCACAGGAAAAAGGAAAGCATCAGTATTGTATTAATCATGGAAAAACAAACAGATACAATCAGGGATGCAGAAATTATCTCAAAAGGGAGGAGGCACACTGTAAAACTTATCAGCCTTGCTCATGAATATTAATTATTAGTTATTAATTATTATTATAAGTACGTTTTCATATTTAAAGGATTTACCACTGATGATTCAAACGCGAGTTTTGAGTAGTGTAGAGTAGCGTTTGTAGTTTGTAATTTCTCCGATCACAAATGCAGACATGGTTTTATGTTTACGCAGCGCGATGCAACGCGTAAAAAGACAGGATAAGTCATTATAATCAGTAATTATGTCCCCACTGGATGCAACAAATGCCTTGATTATAATGAGTTTTAATGTTTTTGTCTCATCACTCCGGCCGGGACACGGCATCAACAGTATGTGAGGGGTGTAACATTTCAGTCACATGCTTGAGGAATTCGGCCAATCACAACGCACTTGATAGCTGGCCAATCAGCGTGCACCTCACTTTTTAGACTGATGAGCTTTGTAAAAATCTACACGTTTCAGAAAGGCGGGGCATAGAGGAGAAACAATAATGTACAGTATGTGGAAAATAATGTGTTTTTTGAACCTTAAACCGCATAAACACATTTCATTACACCAAATACACAAAATAATGTTATTTTTTAGCAACGTCATATGACCCCTTTAAAAAAATCTTACTGACCCAACATATTTGAACAGTAGTGCATATTTGTAGATGTTTATGGATTTTTCAGTACTCCAAATCATTTAGTAACTAAACACTCAAATCTAACTTTATAGAGACACATGGTATATTATTATTTTATAATAGCTTTTAACAGCCTTTTAGAAGTCAATAATAGCTTCGCTAGTTATGAAGGGGTGTTTCATGTATGTAAAGTGTTGCCGCTGGCAAGAGTATGATAAAAAGCCTAAGAGCTTTCAAAGCGAAGACTGGCTTGTTTTTAATTAAACACAGCTTATGTTTTCCACTTCATAAAGAGCGGGGAAAGAGCACACACACAAACATTATCCTTACTCGCCCACCCTAACACTAACACCAGCTAACAGACACTGAAATATGCACACTTTCGCACTCCAGCACATACATCTACTCTTTCTTTCTTGCTCTAACACATAAACACACATACACATGTATACACACAAAGGGTTCAACAGCAGGGGTGTGTTAATTCCACAATTTGGTTGGAATGTATGTAATCCGTGTTTAGATGTGTGAGTGGAGTGAGGGAGCCACTGCGTCTTAAGTTCAAGGCTCCAATGCTGGCCTGAAGGGGCCCAACTCTGAACCCTACATGCTGGCAGTCAGCATGAGGTATGTGAGAACAGGGAACAGTATGTGTGTGCATGTGTGTGTGGGTGACTATGCAGAGGTGTGTGTGTATGTGTGTGTGCGTATGGCCCTGCTGTCGCCCTTTACTCTAGGAGGCCTGTGAAGTTGAAATGTGTGGGAGGGATTCTGTGGCTTTACTGTAACAAACGGCATGATTTACAATGAGTCACAGACAGATGTCTGACTTTTCCATTGTTTGATTAGTCAAAAATGATTCTGACATTGCTTTAACTAGGCAAAAAGCATCAAAACTGAATTTGGGACATGCATGTTGAGCCGTACAAGGATAATATGACTTGACAAGCATGTTGGTTTAACTATACCTGGAGATCCAGCAACAGACTCAACTCTACAGACCACAAAGGTACGAGACAGGGAGAGAGGAACTGCAGAGAAGAATAAAGAGTAGGAGGAAGAAAAAAGCATCACAAGAAAGTTGGAAACAAAACTACAAGGAGACTGAAAGGTGGAACTGAACGATCAAGGAGAGGAGAAAAATCACTAAATATCACTTATTTTAATCTGGGAAAAAAAATGCTGCTGCTGTTTTCCCCATAACAACGCACTTTTAGTATTACTGTAGGCCCATGTTGTCACCACCAGAGGTCACCTATGTTCTGTGGTATTCCCCTAAACTAGTAGCACATGCTTTTAACATTTGGCAGAATATTCAACTCCTATACATTTCTGATTGATCTAAAACTGTTCAACATAATTTGTTGAGCTGGTGGATGCTTTACCCAAAGACATGGACTTTTATGTTCAGTTGGATCAATAAAATATGAAGTAGAAGAATATAATAGTGAAATAACTATGATTTATACTAGCACTAATTCACACGACACAGGACCACATGAATAATTTTATATCATGACAACATATGTTGGCAATATATAAGTATAGTTTTTTTGTGTGTGTGTGACAATAATTAAATTTAATCTGGATATAATGAAGTGTTTTTAAATGCTTCAAAAATGAAAGTTGCTCCATTTCATTTGTTATGTTATTATTCATATCAAATGAATTATAAGGCTGGCATCAGTCCATAAACATCTGCTTACAAAATGACTCAAAACAGTAAAGCTAACATTATGAAATGCACAAGATGGGTCACATTTGATATACAAATGCTGCATATCAGTGGAAGTATGTTGCGGGTTGCTAAGTTGCTTGACTATATGGAGTATGCCTACTAAACTATAATAGTTGGCAAAATACTTGTTTATTATGACTTATAGCAATAACAATTCCATCCATCCATCTCGTCATGTCACATTTTTTAAAAAGCATTTTAAAATAAGACATATCCCACTCTGTATTGCTGCATTGCTCTCATATGTAAAAACATAAAGCAATCCTGCAAACTGATAGCTGCACAAATATGTGTACTGTGAAATAAGATTATAGCAGAATCTTGATTATTTCACAGATTTCCTCTGCCACCAATGTACTACTTAACATAATTGTGCCTGCTCTTAAAGATTACAGTATCGGTACTTTTAAAAACAACACAAGACCAATGACATACACAAATTCTCTTGCCATTTGACCCCTGGAAAGAGACCCTCTGAGATAAACTGCTAGAATGAGGCTCCGCTTCCTGTGGATCTACAAAGTATGTATCCCCGCATACTTTTTGGACTAATACAGCCCACAACCTTCTGCACTATCGCAGGGTATGTGGGTGTATGATGTGGTATCAAGGCAATTTTGGATTGCAGTATTATTTCTTAAAGGAACAGTTCACCCAAAAATTTAAATTTGCTGAAAATGTACTCACCCATCCAAGATGTAGATAAGTTTGTTGCTCACCAGTGGATCCTCTGTGGTGAATGGGTGCCGTCAGAATGAGAATCCAAATGGGTGATAAAAACATCACAGTAATCCACATGACTCCAGTCCATCAATTAATATCTTGTGATGCTAAAAGCTGTGCCTTAATCAAAGGGGTTTTAACTTCAAAACCATTACTCCTGACCAAAATACGAGTCCATAATATTGCTTCCTCCAGTGAAAAAGTCCAACCTCTGTTGTCCTCTCACATCAAAATCCACCAACATATTTGTTTAGAACTGTTTTGGACTTTTCGGCTTGCAAACAGTGCTTGATCTGTGCATATTTCTCTCCAGATTAAAACAAGACTTTTTCACTGGATAAAGCAATATTATGGATATAGGACTTTTACCGGAAACAAGGATTTGAAGTTAAAAATGTCTTGATGGATTTGTTTCAAACTTGCAGCTTTTCACTTTACAAGACATGTTGGACTGGCACAATTGATGGACTGGAGTCATGTGGATTACTTGAGGATTATTGGGATGTTTTTTATCAGCTTTTGGACTCTCATTCTGACGGCACCCATTCACTGCAGAGGATCCATTTGTGAGCAAGTGATGTAATGCTAAATTTCTCCAAATTTGGTCCCATGAAGAAACAAACTCTTTTACATCTTGGATGGCCTGAGGATGATTAAATTTGTATTTTTGGGTGAACTATTCCTTTAAAACCACCATAAAACCACTTGAACCTTTGGGTTATATAAAGTATGAAATGTTTTATTACCAGCGCACTGAGCATATACTTTTCGTTCTTAGTATAAGTATTCAAATTGGGATTCAGTCAATAAAATGGAAGACATTTGGATTTAGTTGTGCTTACCTGGAGTAGCGGTGAGAGCCATCATCCCATACGAGGAGAAAGCCCCAGCTTCAAACTTCATTCCCTCCTTCCCTGCCTCCACCTCCACCTTCCCCTTAGAGAACAGATCACATTGAAAACCAGGTGTTCAATATAGCTAGGAACTGTTTTTTAAGCCACTTCAAATATATAATGTTAATACTGATGGAGATTTTTAGTTTCAGTTTTTCTTTTTGAAGCAAGGTTGTCTTTCACAATACTCACTACAATATTCTTCTTTTACATAGGTACATTAGTTGAAACTTTTCATACTGGGCGTGTTAAATACTTGCGAAAATCCCAGCTTGTTCTAGGCTAATAAGCTCAATCCCTTCTCTCTATGGCTTCTGCGACCCTGGACCAAACAGCCAAGCTGACCTGCAGAATGAGGATGAAATAGTCCACGGGCTTGTTGCGGTGGAAGAGGTAATGTTCGATGGCCTTCTTATTCTTCTCATTATATTTGAGCTCCTGGATGACGTTGGGGTGCTTGAGGAGACGGAGAAGGATCTTTTCAGACATCTGGCTTGGACTAAATGCTTCTACTTCTGTAAAGCAAAAGAAGACACGGCATGATCATCATCTTCCTGTTCCTGTGGGGTTTTTTTGCACTTGAAATTGTTAACTCAGGGCCATTCTAAACCATGGGTAAAGGTAATACCGCATTTTCAGGTTTCAAAATATAACACGGTATATATTAGAAAACCTTGTGTTAATGACGTTCTAACATTTTTTGGACAAATACAGTTTGTTTACAATAACTGCGATAACTGCTTATCCATCTGTAAAAATATTGCCTTGTGAATCTTCTTTGACCGTCTTCTAAAACATACAAAAGCAAATTCTTTTTAAAATTATTATTCCAGTTAACGGTTTCAATTGTGTGCAAGTTTCTCTGAACATTTCATTTTCAAATATTTAATATTTGTCCATTATGATGGTTATCGGTTGCTAAATAACTCATTGTAACATTGTTCTGTTTACAGTATCTGTGTAAACTGGCAGCTGGTCCTTCCTTGACCAGGAAACGCTAATAGTATTGTATTTGTAAATCAATGATTAGCTTAAGCCACAACGGGAAATTTCTCTCCAAATCCTGGCATTAGGTTTAAAGGGGAATACCAGTCAGAATATGTTTGGCATGCACTTTTTATATACATTATACACAACCACCCTTGGGACCTTTTAACAACAGCTTGAGCAACAATAAAGCAAAGGGAAATTACTTGTAGGAGGTTGTGCCAACTGCTTAAACAGTTCTGCAAGAATCAGCAATTATACAAAAAAAATAACGTACATTACCATTTATAGGTTTTCACTTATGCTCTGCAAGGTTGCATTTATTTGATAAAAAAATACAGTAAAACATTATCATCAATGTTGAAAACAGTTGTGCTGCTTCATGTTTTGTGGAAATCATTTTTAGGATTCTTTGACGACAAAATTTGTAAAGACAGCATTTATTTGAAATAGAAATCTGCTGTCACATTATAAATGGCTTTACTGTCAATTTAATGCATCCTTGCTGAATAAAAGTAATAATTCCGTGGGAAAAAAAATACTGAAAAAATAACGTTGAAATGTAGTGTAAATGGCTGATGTGTATACTGGCTTACAGAAAATCCAAAACTGGTCTGCTGCAGGTGAATACTTTTATTTACTTTTAATAAAAATTGAGAATTTGATTTGAAAAATAAAAATACGTTTTTAAGGAGACACATACACTATGAAATATAATAACTATAAAAACTAAAAAACATTGAACACGTTGAAGAACTGCTAAGATTGACAAAGAATGTTGCTTAGGTATTGGTTGATATATTTTTACTGTTTGTATGTAAAATGATATTTGTTTATTTCATTTACACTAGCATTCAAAAGTTTGAGGTCAGTAAGATATCTTTTAAAAAGTAATACTTTTATTTAGTAAAGATGCATTAAAAAAAAAAGTTCCACAAAAATATTAAGCAGCAAAACTGTTTTCAACATTGATAACCCGCTTGTTAAGTCTGATGCAGCCTTGGCGAGCAGAAGAGACTTCTTAAAACATAAAAATTTCAATTTTTACCCCAAACTTTTGAACTGTAGTGTATGTTATTTATCTAATATGATTGACAGCCTGGCTTTAAAAAATATCCGTCAAAGCAGTACAGCAACGTAACCTTTGACAACAGAAAACCTTAACAACAATCTTACTGTGGCTTCTACACCAAATATTTTTTCTTTCTTAGAGAAACACACATTATGAAACAAAAAAGTGATAAAGCTCTTTTGCCTGTGTCAAAGATGTTTTTAATTCTTTCTCTTAGCCCTTTGCTGAAAGGCATTCTTTTATACTCTAACCCAAACAAGCTGCCCCTCTCTAAAGCGCAAAACCTTAGAATGCAAAAAAAAAAACAGAAAAAAAAACCAGTGGCCAAGCTCCTCCTCTGTTGTGAGCAGCCTATCCATACTACAGTCACAGGACACACTGGGGTAAATCAAGCAGCAATGCAGTACACTTGCCTGTTGCTAGGAAACGCAGAGTAGCCAGTAGAAGCTGAGGTGATATTTTAACCTTCATTTCATTGTCCATGTGCTTGAAAGCCGAGAAATCCTGCTTCCTCTCTCGATGGGTGATTTTCTTTTTTGTTTTGTTATCGGCTGTCGGAAAAGTGGGATGATGGGAAGAAAGTTCAATGCTGTGTAAAATGTCTTGTCTCGTATATCTGCACATGTACATTTACAATGACACCTAAAAAAGATTTTGTAATGTTAAGCTAGTTAAAAGTGGAAGCTGAAAGTATCTGTTGAAATTTCACTATCTGTTGAAACTATGCCATAACAAGAGACATTGTGAGGTATTTTAACAAGCTAGTATTGTATAACTTATTCATATTTCATTAGATACAGGACAAAATCCATGCTGCTGTTGTACTTAATTTTACAATGAACGATTTAAACTGCTTTATAAAGAAAACACAGAACTTTCATGGCACATACTATATAAGTCTGTCTCATCCAGGATTTCAGACTTGATGATTTCTTCAATGACGTCCTCCAGGGTGACAATGCCAAGCACTTCATAGAATGGGTCGCCTTCTCCTTCGTTGTTAACCCGCTGGACTATTGCCAGGTGAGATTTACCTAAGATGTAATAGAGTTGTTTAGATGTCGGTTAAGACGCAAATCATGTAAGCCGTTTACGTACAAAACAATATTTACCCATATATTTACAATGTGTTTTGTAATTATGTCAAAATGCCCATATGGAAATTTTATATACAACAGATATTGCCCTATATCAAGTGTAATATTGCCTTATATCAGGGGTGTCCTGCAGACTTTAGCTCCAACCCTAATTAAACACACCTGAACCAACTAATCAGGGTCTTACTAGGCATACTAAAAACTTCCAGGCAGGTGTGTTGAGGCAAGTTGGAGCTAAACTCTGCAGGACACCAGCCCTCCAGGTCAGAGTTTGGACACCCCTACCTTACATGTTAACTATAAGGCAATATATAATTTTCACATTCTCTGGGTGGATGAAGATTTAAGTTTTATAACCAATACAAAATCCCCATAGTACAATTTGTATGATGATTTTTATATGTTATTGTATGAGGCAAACATATATGTTAACAAAATATATTTTATTTATATATGCAACTTTGCAACAACTTATATACAAAACGTTTTTGTAATTTGTTTTTAAATGCACGTCCATCTTTTATATTTCTTTATATAATATCAACATGTATTGGTGGGTTTTAGGATGGATATACATGTACATGACATATATATGTCCAAAAATGTATTACACATACATAAACATACATATCTGTATGCATGTATATAAAATATATGAAAATGTTGGAATTTCCAATAGGTTTCATAAATGTTTTTACTTCATATGACAATTTTCATATTTTCATATACAGGTGCATCTCAATAAATTAGAATGTCGTGGAAAAGTTCATTTATTTCAGTAATTCAACTCAAATTGTGAAACTCGTGTATTAAATAAATTCAATGCACACAGACTGAAGTAGTTTAAGTCTTTGGTTCTTTTAATTGTGAGGATTTTGGCTCACATTTAACAAAAACCCACCAATTCACTATCTCAACAAATTAGAATATGGTGAAATGCCAATCAGCTATTTTTACATTTCATCAGAAGTTGCTCTTTCACCAATAAGCACAATTCAATAGAATATTGACTCGTATTAATGGTTTATTTTACCTCATCTAACGTTAGTTAGATGTCTGCCATGTCTACATTATGAAAACCTACTCTCAAATATTATAACAGAGAAATTCCTAATAGTAGTTCCAATAATTCCAAATTGCATTAATGTTTCTCTTTTAAAACAACGGCAAAAATACTTATTGCTGCACAGAGGTTGCGTAAGTAACATTACAATCCGAAACCACTATCACGAACAATACAGTCGAGGTCCATGACAGAGCACAGACTGGCTGAATGACACTTTCATTTAAGCAGAATACCTCAAATGGTGATCGCTGAACTCCAGCTTACCTGTACAGTACTATATGTTGGTGTTTTTAGATCACGGTGCCTCCAGTTAATTTTGTCAGCTATTTTTAATTTAGTCTTAGTCTTAGTCCTGTGTCAAATGTAACTTTTAGTTTATTCCGTATTTATTCAACTTGTCCTGTTTTAGTTTTAGTCAACTAAATATCTGAGCATTTTAGTCTAGTTTTAGTCAGTGGAAACTTACACATTGTTGTCATATTTTTGTCTTACTGTATAATGGTTAAAATGATGAAAAAAAAATATTATTTTACTAAATTTTTACATTTCATCAGAAGTTGCTCTTTCACCGATAAGCACAATTCAATAGAATATTGACTCGTATTAATGGTTTATTTTACCTCATCTAACGTTCGTTAGATGTCTGCCCTGTCTACATTATGAAAACCTACTCTCAAATATTATAACAGAGAAATTCCTAATAGTAGTTCCAATAATTCCAAATTGCATTAATGTTTCTCTTTTAAAACAACGGCAAAAATACTTATTGCTGCACAGAGGTTGCGTAAGTAACATTACAATCCGAAACCACTATCACGAACAATACAGTCGAGGTCCATGACAGAACACAGACTGGCTGAATGGCACTTTCATTTAAGCAGAATACCTCAAATGGTGATCGCTGAACTCCAGCTTACCTGTACAGTACTATATGTTGGTGTTTTCGGATCACGGTGCCTCCGCAGAGAGAGCGCGTGTGAATGGTTGCCAGATTGCATAAAGCAAAAAGCTGGGAAGAGTACATATCTGTTTAACACAAAAGCTCTGATTGGGGGATTTGAGGTCTTGATATCTGGCAACTAGGGCTGGGTATCGCTCAAAAATTTTCGATATCGATACCGATACCTTGACTTCGATACCGGTTCCTCAACGATATTTTTTTCGATACCAATTTTATGAAATCAATTTTAACAAGATTACATTATCTAAAAAAACAAAAAAACATTGGTTTTATTTTTCAGCTTGTTGAGGTTTATACAAACTCAAAGACTCATCGCCTGAGCCACTGCACAAAGGAACAAAATGTAACCAACACAAAAAATCAGTGCAAATAATTTTAATAAAGCTCAAATAGTCTTCAGTTTACACATCTGTTAGGCTACATTTACACTAGTTAGTGTTCGTTTTAAAACGCATAGCTCAGACAGAATCAAACTTTCTATTTATTTTCCACTGATTTACTCCACGCAGCTCCCGTGCTACTCTCCATTGGAAATGAATGACTGAATAACCGGTCTGTCGCCGGTCTGTCTGTCGGAGATAGTGGAAAGCCGGCTTGAAAGGCAGTGGAAACATCAGTATGACGAGGATCGTTTTCATTTTAAAACATAAACGCACCAGTGTAAATGTAGCCTTACATCTAAGGGGGCTGGGACGCATTCGCACTACAGCCTCACGTGTGCGCCACATCTCTGAGTGTAACCGGTGTAAATTAGTAGGTGTGTTCGACTTGACGCGGACTGACTGTGCAGACCGATCGGTGTATTACAGTACCACGAGAGCTAAAGAGAGCAGACTGCTCTGTGCGCTTTCGAATCGCTCTCGCGGATGTCAAACACTGATCAATCTGCGCCGCACCTCTTCTAGTCGAACACACCGGCTAGTGCTGCAGGCTTATTGGCTCACTGACGCTGATGAGATTTACCTCTTAGGTAGCAAAATTTGGTAGCAAACAACGAGACGTTTTTCGATACTCTATGGCAGGGGTGGCGAACATCGGTCCTGGAGAGCCGCAGCCCTGCACAGTTTTACTTCAACCCTAATCAAACACACCTGAACAAGCTAATCAAGGTCTGAAAGGTTACCAGAAAGCTACAGGCAGGTGAGTTTTAATTAGGGTTGGAGCTGTACTCTGCAGGGCTGAGGCTCTCCAGGACCGGAGTTCGCCACCCCTGCTCTATGGTATCGAGGCATTTCGGTCGGTGCCTAAAAAGTATTGAACTCGATACCCAGCCCTACTGGCAACCGCAAACAGTCTGAAATGTTTTGGCTCCACTTTTTTCAACAAAAATAAAAGGGTTTTGGTAAAGTTTTTGTCCTTTTAACTACATTTTAGTCTTGTCTTTTTTCGTCAATGATATTGCATGTTCATTTAGTCTCAGTTATCGTTTAATTACCTTATTATCGTCTCGTTTTTGTCAGGGGAAAAAAACTTGTTGACGAACATTTTTCGTCATAGTTTTTGTTAACGAAATTAACACTATTAACACGATCGATACTATTAGAGATAAAATTGTAACCATGCAGCCGTCAGCTACAGTATCATATCGATCAGATAGCTTGCTATAGATCGCCTGAGGAAGAGGAACAATAATTATCTACTATAGGAGAGGAAGAATTGTATAAAATTGTTAAATCATCTAAACCAACAACATGTATGTTAGACCCTATTCCATCTAAGCTCCTAAAAGAGGTGCTTCCAGAAGTCATAGATCCTATTCTGACTATTATTAATTCATCATTGTCATGTCCCCAAAACCTTCAAACTGGCTGTTATTAACCCTTTGGGGTCACCTCTCATCAAAAAACCACAACTTGACCCCAAAGAACTTGCTAATTACAGACCGATCTCGAATCTCCCTTTTCTGTCCAAGATACTAGAAAAGGTAGTATCCTCACAATTATATTCCTTCTTAGAGAAAAATGGTATCTGTGAGGATTTCCAGTCAGGATTTAGACCGTATTATAGTACTGAGACTGCTCTCATTAGAGTTACAAATGACCTGCTCTTATCATCTGATTGTGGTTGTATCTCTCTATTAGTGCTATTGGATCTTAGCGCTGCGTTCGACACTATTGACCACAACATTATCTTGCATAGACTAGAAAACTTTGTTGGCATTAATGGAAGTGCATTAGCATGGTTCAAATCGTACTTATATGACCGCCATCAATTCGTAGCAGTGAATGAAGAGGTATCATATCGATCACAAGTGCAGTATGGAGTACTTCAGGGCTCAGTACTAGGGCCGTTACTCTTCACGCTTTACATGTTACCCTTGGGAGATATCATCAGAAAACACAATGTTAGCTTTCACTGTTATGCTGATGATACTCAGCTCTATATTTCTTCGCAGCCGGCGAAACATACCAATTTGAAACACTTGCGGAATGCATGGTCGATATAAAAATCTGGATGATGAGTAATTTCTTACTGCTAAATTCTGAAAAAACAGAGGTGTTAATTATAGGACCTAAAAACTCTGCATATAATAACCTAGAACACTTAATAAACAAACTCCAGCTGGTCCAAAATGCAGCAGCTAGAGTTCTTACTAGAACCAGGAAGTATGACCATATTAGCCCGGTTCTGTCAACACTGCACTGGCTACCTATTAAACATCGTATAGATTTTAAAATCTTGCTCATTACTTATAAAGCCCTGAATGGTTTAGCACCTCAGTATTTGAACGAACTCTTGTTACATTATAGTCCTCTACGTCCGCTGCGCTCTCAAAACTCTGGCCATTTGAGTTGCTTTGACACAATCTGTATTGTTAAAAGCGCTATATAAATAAAGGTGACTTGACTTGACTATTACTCACTTTACTATTTGGACCCCATTTCCTTTCAAAACGCTGAGGTATTTTAT